CTACACATCATTATGCAAAACAGTCCTGTTTTCTGCATTCTTTGTGGTAATCTCAGCTGAGAGCTGATTGTTATTACGAGGGTAATGCACTCTGGATGGAAAGGATAAATGACATTTAAGTATCTCTTATCTGAAGATGATTTAAATTTAGTAATGCTGAGGAAATTAGTTAAAGCTCTCACATAATCTGTGGTTATGTTTCCCATAGGTTTGAGGACAAATCTTTGTTGTTTGTATTTCCTTAGATCCAAGGCACAATTTCATTTATACAACATATTAATTCTATAAATCTTAGTGTTCTGTGGTTTAAATCAGGAAAAAACATGTTCCTATAATGCTGATCTGAAGGTTTAATTTCAGTTTTGTCTCTGAAGGCATGTTCAGATATGTCCTCCAGAAATGTGATTGCTTTGGCCGGAGTCCATCATTTCCATCTGCTCCTAATGCTCCTTCTCAAACACCCCCCACACTGCTACACAATTTCACAGAATCACACAGTTGGAAGGGGCCTTTTGAGGATCATCAAGTCCAGCTCTTGGCCCTGCACAGGACATCCCCAACAATCCCACCGAGTGCCTGAGAGCATTGGCCAAACACTCCTGGAGCTCTGTCAGCCTTGGGGCTGTGACCACTGCCCTGGGGAGCTGTTCCAGTGCCCAAACACCCTCTGGGGGAAGAACCTTCTCCTGACACCCAACCAAATCCTGCCCTGACACAATTTCAGGCCATTCCCTCAGGTCCTGCCACTGGTTGCCAGAGAGAAGAGGTCAGTGCTGCCTCTGCACTTCCTTCTGTGAGGAAGTTGTATATAGCAATTTTTTTCAAGTCTCCCCAGTGGGTTTTGTTCTGTCTGTTTTAATTTGGGCTTTGACTACATCCAAGGGTAGAGGCTCCACAGTCTCTCTGGACAACCTGTTGCAGTGTTTGACCATCCTCACAGCAAAAAAAAGAGGTTTAAGAGGCAAGAAGCACCATACATACCAATGCGAACCCCATCATCCCAATAAAGCTGTCCTTGTGCAAACTGAGCATCATCCAATGCCACAGTGAGTCCCATCGGGTTTTTTCGGCTGTGGAAAAAAAACCCCAGTTTCCCCTCAGTTTCCTAAGCTAATCACATATTTCTCAAATGTTAACATTTTAAAAGAAGTAATGTATAGAATTGCAGAATCAGTTAGGTTAGAAGGGACCACAGTGGGTCATCTGCTCCCACCTCCCTGCTCAAGCAGGGCCAGCCCAGAGCACATGGCTCAGGATTGTGTCCAAGTGGTTCTGGAATATCTCCAGTGAGGGAGAATCCACAACCTCTCTGGGCAATCTGTTCAGTGCTCAGTGACTGCACAGGAAAGACATTCTTCCTTGGATTCAGGTTTAACTTCTAGACATCAGTTTTTGCTGTTACCTCCTGTTTTATTGGGTTCCACAACTGAGAACAGCCTGACTCCATCATCTGGTATACCACCCATTTGACCTCCCATAAACATCTTCCCAATCCCATGCTATCACATTTAAAGGAGCCCGTTAGGAGAAAACCAACAAGAAAAATTACATTTCAAATTTTCAGTTAATCTTACCTGTAAAAAGTGGTATTAGCAGGACTTTGCCAAGGCAGGATGTAACCACCTCGGATATGCAGGTTGATATGATCCAAAGGAGCTGGTAAATCCCTGTATTCTTTCTTATAGCGAACATATTCTTCCTATGGATGAAAGAATAATGAAGCTTTACAAGGTTGTTTTAGAATGGAATGATAGTGTTTTTCTAGACAGGTCAATTAGGAGTTGCAACTGCAGGAGTAACTACTAATACTTTTAAGAGAAACTGGATTTTGGTTCTTTATAGACTGGCTTGACTGTAGGTGACAGCAGCTGAACCAATGGAGTCAGTCAGGTGAAATGCAAACCTGTGATTAATGAAGTGAGTTTTGATTCCTGCACTTCCTATGTCCAAATATTTTCTTATTTTTTGTGAAAGACAATGAAGCTAAATCTGTTTTGTCCTTCTCCATTTCAGAATTCCTTACAAAGCCATTCTGTATATCATTTGAGGGTTAAAATAGTCAACAGGACTATAAACTAAATGGATTACTACTTCATCTTTGCATTTAGCCTAACTCTGGTCATGTTATTGTCATAGAATCATAGAATTTTAGGGGTTGGAATGGACCTTAGAGATCACCTAGTCCCAACCCTCTGCCCTGGGCAGGGACACCTCCCACCAGAACAGGTTGCTCAAGGTTTTAGCCAACCTGCCTCTGAACACTGCCAGGGTGGGGGCAGCCACAGCCTCCCTGGGCAACCTGTGCCAGTGTCTCACCACCCTCACAGGAAACAACTTTTTCCTAATATCTACCCTAAATTTTCCTCTTTCAATTTGTACCCATTGCCCCTTGTCATGTAACTGCATCTGCCAACAAATAGTCCCTCTCTGGCTTCCCTGTAGCCCCTTCAGATCCTGGCAGGTTGCTATGAGGTCTCCATACAACCTTCTCATCTCCTGTATATGTTACTATGCAGGAATCAAGGATTTTTTTTTTATCAGCTAAGTAGATTTTTCCATTTCTAAGAACTTAAATGCAAGTTAAGCAAGAGAGAGTTCCCACCTTTCCCAGTCTCAGCACTGTGAAGAAGACACAAAATATAAGTGTTAAAAATTACTTACTGTGTAGTAATCATACCAACGAGCATTGGGGAAGTAAGCCCTCACTGTTACAGCATTCTGGAATTAAACAAACAAGGTTTAGGCATTTCAAATCAAAAAGTGAAGCTAAAGTGACTTGAATATTTGTCATAACTGTTCCAAAACCTACCTGTGTCATCACAGGGCTGATGAGCAGTGCAGGTCCCCAGAGAAACTGCTCATATATTTCCCAGGTCTTATTGTCTTCCACAAACCTGTCATGATTAGACATTGAGAACAGAACTTTTTCAAAGTTGTCTTCTTTAAGACATTTTTGTCAGTAATTGAACCTACTTTTCCTACTATCTACTATTTCCTCATCTTTATTCTACTATTAGTAATTCATAGAGCAATTAATGGTTGCCAGGAATGCATAAAGATCCTAATGTGAAACTCATTAGAGAAATGCAAGTTAGTACTTAGCTTTCTTTATTTCCATTTTTTTTTCTTTTTCATTTCAGTATATTTAGACCACAAAAATCCAAAGGTCTGTTGTGCTTGGCTGGTATTTGCAATAATATGATCTTAGACAGACTGGGAATCACTTTCTATCTTGGGCCACGATTTCCTTAGACGGTTGCTTTGGAAAAAGCAAGTCACTACATGCCAACAACCCAGCGTTCCCCAGCCAAGACTTGGGGGTTTTTTATTGAAGGAAAAAGTGCTATAACAAAGAGAAAACTCTATGGTTAGGAGGGTTGTAACTATGGAAGTTGTAATGGGAATTCCTGGTAAGGAAAGCAAAGGAATTGCACTTACTCATGGAGTACAGGACGGATCACAGTGCTGCCATGGGCATGGGCATCATACATCAACGTGTAGAAATAAGGTAACAAGGTGTATCTTATATTCATTGCTTTCTTGGTAATCTCCACAAATGTTGCATTCCAGGCAGCAGGATCTTGCCTCTGAAAGAGAAGAGGCTATTGTTAGGGAAGCTGAATTGTTTCTAAAGCTAAAAAAGGCAGCATTGCAAGACAAAGCCAAGGACTTTCCTCCTCCCAACTAGAGTATCTTCATTTATTTACTCTTCAATTCATGAAGCAAGTGACACTAAAAAAAGGAGGTATCATGGGTTAGCCCTAAGAGGGAAACTAAAAAGAGGGAAGCTGAGAAAAACCCTATGGAGAAAGCTGTAAAAAATGTTTAATGCAGTGTCTCAAAGGCATGAGACAACCAAGTGTACATCATTTCTCAGCCCCCTTTCCACAGGGCAGCACGCTGGACTTGCAAGAAGAGACCCAAGCACTAATGACTGATGTCAGGGAGCACTTCCAATCTTTATTAAATGGATTGAACAATACTTTGGCAAATTGGGTAAGACTGGAAGCAACATCATAACCCTGAATCTGCATTTTTAAGGCTTTCAAAGGCCTATGGAAAGATGTGTCGCAGCGAGATAAAGCACACGGGGTCCGAAAAGGAGACTTTAATCCATTAGATAGATCCCATATAAATAGCTCTACTCTGCTAGACCTGAAGCTTTCACTGCAATAGGAGTGCTGTTTCCACTTTTTTTCCTTCCCCAGTTATCTTGTTTTACAGCTTTCTCCACTCTAGTCCTTAGCCAGCACAGACCTACATTTAGGCAATTATTTCACTCTTATCTTAACAGAAATACAATATCTGATGGTGGCAAATGTGCAAAACACAGACATTTCTGAGTCTGACTCCAGCATCTTATGCCACTGCTCCATTTTCTCATTTGTTGTATAATTATGAAATATCTGATGGTGGCAAATGTGCAAAACACAGACATTTCTGAGTCTGACTCCAGCATCTTATGCCACTGCTCCATTTTCTCATTTGTTGTATAATTATGAGCAATTAGGGCTGAGAGCACCAAGGTCAGTTTTGCTCCTTGAAATGTGTTTGCCATAAAAGTGCTCAATTTTAGTCTGGATGTAACATGTTCAAATCAAAGTGGCACAGAGGGGAACATATGTAGGAGTTTGATTCAGTCAAAGCAAACTTGAAACCTGCTTCCTTCAAGTGGTCCAAATCCCAGAGCAGCCCCTCTGTGAGTATAAAACCTCCCAGGTGAGAGGGAAGTTTACAGCAAAGCAGGCATGTAAATAATGGCAATTTTTCATTTGATAAAGAGCCAAACATGTTCTTTTCTTGTCCATTTGGAATATACTTTGGTTTTTTGAGCAAGAAAAACTTGTGAGTTATGCTAGCTGCTCTTTGCATGTGTGTTGTAAAGGTCCAGCTGGTAACAACCATTAAGAAATTCCAACTCACTTTTGTTCCTTTCTCATTGTGATTCCTTGAATACGGGTAAAATGCTCCCAGCTGCATCCAGCGAATACACAGCTCATATTCTGAGTCTTTGAAGAAGCCACAGATATCAGCTCCTGTCTGAAATTTTGAGAATGATACAATTGGATTACTATAATATCATGTACAGCATCAAGGTAATTAAATATAAGTTAGTAACTAGTTAGCTTACATAAGATATTCCAAAGAGACTGAACTCCATCATGCCTGAAAAGAAAAAATAAATTACCATTACTGACTGGCTTTTCTGCCCCCTTTGGTGTGCTAATGGTTACATAGATAATATATATTGTAATGCTGAATGAGAAGAGAAAAATCCAAATACAACCCCAGCAATTTCTGTCTGCTATAGAAAGAGATGAGAGGTGTTTGGTCAAGAGCAAGCAAAATAATGAGTGGCAGGACACAGGGCATGAAGATGGCTGGTTCCAAGGGAATAAAAGAGCTCCCAGCACATGGTGTCGAAGGAAAGAAGTAGAGGTAAAAAAGGAATTGACCACAAATTCTTAGTCCTATATTAAAGTGCTTTTCAGCTAAAATCACATGAATACTAAAAGAAAGAATGTGAATGAGAAGCAAGGTCAGGTTGGATGGAGCTTGGAGCAACTTGGTCAAGTGGAAGGTGTCCCTGCCCATGGCAGAGGGGTAGATGATCTCTGAGGTCCTTCCCAACCCCAATCATTCTATGAGTCTATGATCCCAAGAATACAGATCCTTCTCCTCCCACATACCAATAACAGACTTGGTTAGCTGATCCCATGCGGCTGTGTTATCCCCCAGCCAGTGTCCTGCCCATTTTCCGCTACTGGGATATGTGGAACGAGCGATGACAATCCCACGCTCCTTGGTGGCAGCCTGCAGACCACTGACATGGAAAAGAGACAAAGAAACAAGTTACAGGAGAAATATTACATGGGAATTCATTACATAAGAGCCTCTGAAAAGAAACCTCTGGGTTTATGTTATCCTAGTGAAGGGCTGCAGTGTATGCATCCAATCCAGATGTGCTTTGCATGGCAATTCACTATGATTCACACATCATCTCAGCAGTGTTGGCCAATCTGTAGCTTCCAAGAGAACTGGCAAAAAGGAGGGTTAATATACAATTTCCTAGCTCATGCTAATTACTATATGGGGAAATACAAATGTAGCCCAACTTGCATTTTCCAAGGGCTCCACAATGTGCCCAAGGGCACATTGCTCCTTTCTTAAAGCACCTGAAAACTTGCAGTAACAGTTCAAAATAATACAGCAAAAAACATACCAAAAGGATCATAAGAGTGAAAATACTGGACCTCTCAGTATAAGTCTAGGTGATGACAAGGGATTGGAACAGCAAAAAATGAGTCAGGGATTTGTAGTCACTTCAGAAACACCAAGTGACATTATCTCAATAGGAAATGCCCAACATTCATTGGTCTAGAAGCAAACATTTCCTGCTAAACCATCCTAGTCAGAAAGCTGCCCTGATTAAACCCCACTGCTCTCCAATGCAAGCTCCACCATAATTACCTCAACAGCTGCTTCAATAATGCACTATTTACTTATTTTTCTATAGGGTTTGCAGCTCTAGTGACACTATAATTACCGCAAAAATACACAAGTCACTTAAATTACCGCAGCAATTAAACTAGACTAATGTGCTGCAATTATTCCTTCCAAGACAAACAGTAAGTTTTCTAGTATCTTTTATTTCTTTGTAATGCACTATCCAACATTTCCAGCCTCTGGTGGTTTCCTAATATTGATTATATTTTGGAAACGGCAGCTAAAATTTCAGAAGGAAACTCAGTGTATGTCACACGCGGAACTGCTCAGGGAAGAGCACAACCTGAGTGTTCTGCTGACTTAAGGCTCAGTCCTGGAGCTCTCTGCCCCAGGACAGAGCCAAAACTATCCATGAAAAGCAATTATTCATTTCACAAAGCCTGAATTTGCCTCCAAACAATTCCTGTATTCACTAGTAAAGGTTTTGGCTATGCAAAAAACCTCACCACAAAAGAAGAGCATCAAGGAAATATTCAGAAGTTCTCTGTCTGATAGAGGGAGAGCCAAGATGACAAAAAGTTACATAATAAACTGATGCTCACTTCTCAGGTTTTGTGAGTTTTGTGTGCAAATAATCTTCCTGTTTGGCTGATTTAGTATTAAAATAAATTATTATGATGGCATTTCTTCAGTTTCACCAATACTCCTTCAGTTACTACCAAGGAGTAAATTTGGGACTCAAATATATATATATTCTATAAATTTCAAGTGTGAGAATATCCTTATAAGCTGTGAAATTTATGGAAGTGAGTTTTGTTAGGGAGCATCTCAAAAGAGAAAGAAATATTTCAGTTCAGACTTAAAACATAGAAATTATGGTAATATTCATCTTACTATCAAATCATTGTCTACTGCATTGAGTTTGCACAGCAAGGCTTTGGTAGCAGGGGGGCTACAGGGGTGGCTTCAGTGAGAAACTTCCTGAAGCTTTCCCATATCTGATAGAGCCAATGCCAACTGGATCCAACACAGACCCACACCTGGCCAAGCCCATCAGCAACGGTGATAACACCTCTGGGATAATACATATAAGAAGAGGGAAAAGTTGTTCTCAACAGCAACTGGAGCTGGAGATACAAGTGAGAGTATGTGGGAGCAACAGCCCTGCAGACCCCAAGGTCAGTGCAGAAGGAGGAAGTGATGCTTCAGGTGCCAGAGCTGAGATTCCTCTTCAGCCTGTGGTGAAGACCATGGTGAGGCAGCTGTGCCCTGCAGCCCATGGAGGGAGCAAGATCCACCCGCAGCTCATGGAGAACTCCAGGCCAGACTCGGAGGATGCCCAAAGGAGGTTGTGACCCTATGGGATGCTGCACTGGAACAGGTTCCTGGCAGGAACCCATGGACAGAGGAACCCATGCTGGAGCAGGGGAAGAGAGGGAGGAGTTCTCCCACTAAGGAGGAAAGAGCAGCAGAGACAATGTGTGATGAACTGCCTGCAATCCCTGTTCCCTGTCCCACTCCACCTCTGGTACGCAGCAGATAGAGAAAATAGGGAATGAATTGCACGTGGGAAGAAGTGAGGACTGGGGGGAATTAAGATTTTGTTCTAAATGTCATTTTCTTCTCTGATTTGCTTGGTTAGAAATTAAACTAATTACCACAATTGAGTTGTTTTGCCTGAGACAGTAATGGGTGAGTGATCTCTCTCCCTATCCTTATCTCGACCCGTGAGTAATGGAATGGCTTGGTGGGCACCTGGAGTCCAGCCAGGGCTCAGCCCACCACATCTTGCAATGCCCAAATCACATGTGACTCAGCTGACAGCAGAAATATCAGACATTCCTTCCTGCCCTGTCAGCATTTCGCTCCTGCCTTGACTGGCAGCGCTGCACTGACACACTGCCAGATAGAGCAGACACTCAGTCACAGATTCAAGCAGCCTTGAGAGTCTCTTTCTTTATGGTAATATCAAAGTTACCAAGGGCTTTAAGGTCGTTAAGACCTGGAGAGAAAAACTGCTCCTTGCTTACTCGTTGAATTGTAAATGAAACAGCTCAGATCCATTATCATCAGATCAGACGTTATCTAGAGCAGACTGGGGGACTATTCACAGCTACAGATAATGATGTTTGCCTTGGAACTGGAAAAAGAAATGCTTAAAAGTAAAGCTTTCTGCACACACTTTGCATTTTAAAAGTCACCATTCCCCCTTTTCACTAGACCTTGGTTTGTTTTAAAAAGAGAACATTGAGCCCTCCTTAAATTAACATTATAGAAAAACTATCTCCATTTTCCCTTGCTGGATGTAAAGTGTAAGGGAAAACCAGTATCAACCCTAGGAATAAACCAGGCAGTCCCAGCAAATCCTAGAAACAATAAGTATGTTATATTTTAATGACAGTAATTATGTGAGACTCTCATTGAGTAATTACTCTTCCCAACAGCTGATCAAAAACCTGTTCTCTGCTGTGCCTTGTGAATGAACACCCGAGTGAGCAGCGTTCCTGGACCGTCTGCTCTCGTTTGCAATCACTCTGGGTTGGCCTCAGTGCCTGTCTCATAACAGATACCTCTGCTGGAAAGTCAACATGTTGTCTGGGAATGTGTTGGGACAAGAAAACACTGGATGATAATTAAACCCAAATTAAAGTAGCTGACCTTATTTCATAAGGCAGCTCAGAAATTCGGCTTGCACAACACAACATTGATATGGATGAAGCCCTCAGAATGGGTATAGCAAGTAGTCCACCCCAGCTAGGTGAGTAGTTTGTTTAGTACCAGACTTGGGTGAACTGTCCTTAAATTGCACCTTGTAAATTGTGTCTGTTCAGAGTCAGCAATTTTAAAGCTGCTAAACTCAAAATAAAGCCTTTACCTGCTTTTCCTGATAGACTTGGGCATGCAGCAGCAACTCTATGAGCAGGTGAGGTTTGTACCTTCTCTCTAGCTACACGTGCAGAAGGGATTTGTTGCAGTGCAAGTGTGGAAGCACAGCTCCAGCTCAGACCTGCACAGACCCACCTCCCTCTCTCCTGCAGCTCAGGTCACAGCTCCCTGCCTGCACCACAGGTGAGATCCCTGTGCTGAGCAGTGATGAGACTGAAATCACACCAACTGCTGCTCAGCCCTTTGAACTTCCAACTCCACTTCCAGCAGGATTGAAGAGCCAAAGATATTTGAGAGAAAAGAAAGATTTCTCAGGCATCTTTCTGATACAAGTTTTGGCCATAGGAATGTTGACATGGAATATACATTTGTAATGTATTTTGGAGATAACATGAAATCTGCAAACTTCACTTACTCTAAAGTAGGTTTTGCCTGTGACCATCCATAAAGACTGTGGACATCAAAGTGTCTGACTGGAGTACCATCAGGAAGATATTGTTGACCTTCCATGCATGGAGTTTTGAAAGTTAATCCCTCTGACCTGTATCCCAAATCTTGGGTAAAGGGAAAAAATATGCATTATTTATAAATAATAAACATACAATAATGATCTGAGTTGCTTTTTTCTTCATTTTCCTAATCTGTTAGGCATTCAGTCTCTTCTAGGCATATATTGATTTATTTATCATGATAAAAACAGCATTTCCAAAATGGAATAATTCTAAAATTCCTACGTAGGCATTTGGGTCTGTAAATGTTTTCATAATTCAGTTACAGATACTCTTGGTAAAAAAGCTCAAAGAGTAAACAGCATATCAATTCAGAATATATTGTAAATCATTTCACTCTCATATCATCCATATAAACTGAAAAATGGGTGTGGCTGGGGAAATGGTTTGTCTCTCAATAATAACTTCCTGAAAATTCCTGAAAACTATTCATCAAACCTGAATACAACAGTAAGCAACAAGAGTATGCTAATAAACCATTAATAAATGACTCCTAATTAGTACTACTTTACACCAGTACTTGAGCAAAGCCAAGCTAAGAAAGCAAAGCATTTCAAGCATTTGACTGCACAGATAAATGGTAATGAGAGGAGACACAAGGATATTTCCTACATTTTTAATTAATTGCATTATTCATCTGAGAAAACTGCAAACCAGAGAGCTGCATTCTCTGCCATGCCTCAAGCAAAGCACTTAGATATTAAATAGGTATCAAAATCCATATGCAGGCAAGTAGCTGGAAATAACTTTAACAAGTGCCACACAGCTCGTGCTCCCAAGGAAATAGCTGAGCTTGGAGTGTGCCCATGATCTCAGAAATAAGGGAACATTTCCAGTGAGAAACTGTGGGTTTATATACCCATCTTTATTCAGGCTTTACACCCCATATACCAGATAAGAACTTACATAGTAACCAGATGACCTAAAACTTTTAAGGAGGGATCAGACTTACGAGGCATATAGGGTGGATTGTTTAGGAGGTCATTTTTACAGCCACCCATGGCTCCGTTCATAAAAGCTGCTGGTTCATTCATGTCCTAAAAACATAGAGCAAAAGCCAATTGCATTTGTTTCAAGCCTAGAAAACACCTGAAATTGTGAATGACAATTAAAGAGCATTGAATAATTCCTCTGGAGTCCAAGAGCTGCAGTCTCAGGCTGATGTCCATAAAGGGGGATGGACAGAGACTTTTCACAAGGGCAAGGGGGAATGGCATTAAAATGAACTAGGGGAGGTTTAGATTAGAGATTAGGAAGGAATTGTTCCCTGTGAGGGTGGTGAGGCACTGGCACAGGTTTCCCAGAGAAGCTGTGGCTGCTCCATCCCTGGGAGTGTTCCAGGCCAGGTTGGATGGGGCTTGGAGCAACCTGGGCTAGCAGAAGGTGTCCCTGCCCATGGCAGATAGGTTAAATAAGATGATCTTCAAGTTCTCTTCCAACAGAAACCATTCTGTGATTCCATGATTCTATGTTTCCTTGACTTGTTTATATGTGATGTGGTGCAAAGACAGGGAGCCACAAAGTGTTTCAGGGGAAGAATCGTGAGTCAGGGCTCTTTGTGCAAACCATGTCCCTCTCGAGTTGGAGATATCATGATACCCTGAGGCAGTGAAAATGTACAGCATAGAGCCAAAGCAGTGCCTTAGGCTGGGGCTCAGGTTCTGCCTGGTGCTCTGCTTGCTTTCCCTCCAGCCCACTTTTTAATTTTACTCATCATAGAATCATTAAGGTTGGAAAAGACCTCCAAAATTATCAAGTCCAGCCTTTACTTAATGAGAATTTTACTCCAGATACTCTCTGAGCTGCAACAGCATTGCAGATCCTGGGAATTGTGGCCTTCTCCACAGAGAAAACCCATCCAGAAATTGAACTCATTTTTGCACTTACAATCCACAGGCCATCAAACTTGACACTTTTTTCAGGGTTGGTGGGATTGTCATAGTACTCCTTGATTTCTCTCTTCCACCACTCCCTTGTGGAATTGCGGAGGAAGTCTGGGAAAGCAGCATGTGCTCCATAGAGCTGGAAAAATAGTAGGAGAACAAGATAGATACAGAATTGAAAGCATCCCACTGCTAAAATGTTGAAATTTTAAAAAAAAAATGAATCCATAATAATATCAAAAAAAAAGGAAGGGCAAAAATAATCACTAATTGTTCACTGATTTTTTGGCTATTAGGAAGGCCCATAAATGACCTTCTTTTTTGCAACTTATTAGCATAACGGCCTTAGGTTTCTACAGCTTATCCCTCCCATGAGATTTATCAGCTAGTTTGCTGATATCTTCAGTAATTAATGTCTATATTTAAGTCAAGAACCAAACCATATCAACATTTACCTGTATTTGTGTTTGCTCAGGCAATGACTCATTGACTTCGACATTGGGTAGAAATGACCAGACCTAATGGCCCAAAGGATATTTCAAATGATCAAACCACACTGAATATAAACTGACCATCAACAACAGAGAGATATACCCACTCTTCCCTGAACAGTACCTTGGAATACATAATTTCATTGGAATCAGGCCATTTTATGAAGACATCATCCCTCACACCTCTTGAGAAGGCAGAATATTCAGTTTCATTGCCAGAAATGGCTGGATCCTACAATTAAAAACACATGCTCAAACCCCAAGTTTCCAAATGCTGTTGAATATATTCTGCATTCTACAGTACTATATTGCAATTTAAAGGCAGTATTCCAAACCGACCAGGATAATGATGAATCTCATGCCTTCCTGTTTGATTTTGTTGATCAGAGTTGGTAAACCAGCAAAGCGAGAGCCAAGGGTGAAGTCCAGTTGTCTTTCCATGTAGTCAATATCTGAATATTGGACATCCTGCAGATCAAAAAATCCCCCCCAATTAATTTAAAATTTTCTCTCTTTCTTTGCCAAATATTGAAAATCTGCCAAAATAAGTAAACTATGAACACTTGATCTGTAAAACTGGAAGCAGTTGTACCTTTAGGCTAAAGCTCTTAAATGAATATTACACAACCTATCAGCAAGTCCAATTAAAAAAACCACAACCTTCCACTGCTGCATTTACTCTCAGAATAGAAATTGCTACATGACAGAAAATAACTCCTGAATTGGTACATATATGTATGTACACAGAAACTGCACCTAAGTTACCATATCTATAAGCAAACAGCGGAAACAGTTGTTCTGTAATGAAATAGTGATGTTAATTCCATTTAAAATGAAGTCACATTCAATTTATGATATAATTTTGGCACACCTATATGCTATTCCAACTTTCCCAACAGCAACCTGTGCTAAATCACAGCGGGCTTGACACAGAGCATTAGGACATTGAAATGGTGCTGCTTCCTTTTTTTTTCCCCTGCTTGTTTTTCTGATTGATCACTCCTCCTTCATGCTGCTTTGGTGTGAATGATAATGAAAATAAAGCAGCCTAAGATCTACATTTAATACAGCTCAGAGCTGTGGCATAAAATCTCCTCTGCTCTACCATGGTGGTTGCTTTTTAGTTGGTTTCCGATTTTGTGCTTAAATGATCATAGAATCATCAAGGTTGGAGGAGACCTCTAAGATCAAGTTCAACCATTAACCTGTCACTGCTGTAACCCCTAAGCCACATTCTCCAGTGCCAGACCATATGCCTCTTAGACACTTCGAGGGATGGTGACTGCACCACCTCCCTGGGCAACCTTTTCCAGTGCCTGACCACTCTAATACTATGAAGTCAAAAGTTCAGGCATGAGATCAAATATGAATTGCTCACAACTTACATAAGGAATTCCAGTTGCCTTCATTTCCTCCACCACCTGGGCGATCTCTGAGTCATTCCTGTACCCATAGCGGCACAACTGGAATCCCAAGGACCAGTAGGGTGGCATCACTGGTCGTCCAATCAGCTAAAAATGAGGAAGAATATTTGTGGTAAGTAGGTGAAGAGAAAACAAATCAACCAATCAAACCCCAGCATTAGTTTGCAATAGAGTAAGGATCCTACTTCGGTGTATTCCTGAACAACAAGTTCTGGTGTTGGGCCCAAAACCATGTAGAAGTCAAGAATTCCTCCAATGGTGCGGTAGGTCAGGGCAGGGGTTGGCTGGAATGTCACATCTGGAAAAGGAGGAAGTGAAATGAGAAATGGATGTCTGGATTTGTCACTACTACAAAGCACTGACCATTAAAATGAAACACATTGAGGAAGATGGAGAAAGTCTATTTACAAGGACCTGAAGTGTCAGGACAAAGTGGAATGGCTTCCCACTGACAGAAGGCAGGATTAGATTAGATATTGGAAAAAAATTGTTTCCTGTGAGGGTGCTGAGGCACTGACACAGGTTGCCCAGAGAAGCTGTGGCTGCTCCATCCCTGGGAGTGTTCCAGCCCAGGTTGGACAGGGCTTGGAGCAGCATGGGCTAGTGGAAGATGTCCCTGCCCATGGCAAGGAATGAAATGAGATGATCTTTAAGGTCCTTTCCAGCCCAAACCATTCCATGATTCTATGAAATACAGTGAAGGTTTTCTTACCCATTGCATTGCTGTTAAGCAAGAGAACTCCGTGGGCATTGCTATCTTCTTCAAGAGCCATGTAAAACGGGTGAAAGCCATAGGAATTCAACTTGTACTGCAAGTAAAACACAATTTACTGGAAAAACACCACAAACATTCCCTTATTTACATTTAGTAATAAATATAATAAAATATGTGGCATAACTGCCAAACATACAACAAATAAACTCCAAAGTTATATATCTAAACCCTACATAACTACAAAACAAACCTGCAGATCACTTTCAGCTTCACAATTTGAGTCAGCCTTGTTCAGAATGCTCTGGCAGGAAGGAAAGCAAAAGTATTCCTGCCCTTAAAGCTTACTAGTGTTTCCTCAGGACAAATCCTTCCCCTCTTCACAAACAGGCCCAGGTGTCTATGTGCTCAGGAGATGCTCAGACATCCTGTTATCTTTCATTTACTCAATAGAACATTCAAACCTGAACTGGAAATTAGATCTCTAACTAACCACCACTATTCCATTGGTCATTCTCTGCAAATTGCAAATGTTATCTTGTAGGAAATAATGTAAGTATCCACACAGACATAAGATTTCTGATTTACCCCTATGAGTACTGATTAAATCCCAAACCACTGGGAGTCATCCTAACTCATGCTCTGCTTTCAGAATAATGAGCTGAGAAGAGCAAAAATAAGGAGGAATGTGTAGTTATTTCTAAGCCATTTCTAATCTTCCAACATCTGCCTCAAGACCTGAGCTCTGCACATTGTTCTCGCAGGTCACAATTAGGTTTACAGAAGACCATTGGTATTGAGACGTCACTCAAATTCTAAGCCATAATAAATATGATCAAACCAATAGTTTGTCCAGCACCAGCAGAGAGCCAATGGAGTTTAAAGTCCTGTTGAACACATCCACACATTAGACTCATTGGTCTAAAAGTCATATTTTCTTCTACTTACAGTAGGAGGTTGGTCCCTTGTGAACATTCCCCAGGTGTGCCAACTCATGTTTCGCCGAAACATGGTATGCTCAGTTTCTCCAAAGCCATAGACATACTGGGATGCCAAACGGGTAGAAATCTGAATGAACATGTCACTGAAGGTGAAGGTGGGCAGGGATGAATCCCAGCTAAAATGGGAGGAGGAAAACAAGAATGTAGTGTCCTCAGTACAGACACTTTTAGGCTACTTTCTTTCTCTGAAAATCTCAGTCTTCAGTAAAAGTGGAATGAAACTGTTAAGGTTATCAAAAAAACTTAGAGCACATGAAATGGGGGTGTCAAAGAATTTGATATACAGTTTAGAGACACCAAGTCCTCTGTGTCTCTCAGAGAGATATATATTATTCACAGGCATCGTGCATGGCCAGTTGCATCATATCTTTGGCAATTTAGTGAGAAAATATATTTCAGGACAGTATGATTGTATTTTCCTTCCAGACTGAGCCTTGGTGCCACATGGAATAGAGTAAATAAGGTGCTTTTTACAGTTCACTGAATTTTTTTGTGCAGATTACACTGCAATTGCATTCACAGGTCTCATTTGTTGTAAATCAGCATCTTTACAGTTGGAAACCAAACTGCAATCTGATGGGGCTCTGCCAAAGCATTATATTGTTCCAGGAGGTTGAATTGCAGGTGGAATTATTATTCTGGTTGGCAAAAAGGAACTCAGCTTGCAATTAAGTTTTGAGAACTTTAAAAAATGAAATGAGATTGGTTTTTTTAATAAAAAACATAACACACAACTGCTAATATCATTGTTCTCTGTTTTCTAGCTCTGACTTAATCAAGGAAAGAAATGAAGCTCCTGCCAGACTTATCATCTGTCATGTTACCAAACTCTACCTGCAATTTAGATGAGACACTACTGTCTCCTATTAGTTTTTTTCTTAACCATTCCCTAAAACTGAACCAAATAATTGTGGAGTCACCACCCCTGGAAGTGTTTAAGAGGCATCTGGACCTGATGCTGGAGGATATGGTTTAGGGTTTACAGCAGAGTGACATGTTAATAGTTAGACTTGATGATCTTAGAGGTTTCCTGCAACCTTGATGATTCTATGATCAATCCTTAATGATCAGTGCTGTAGTCACCTAAGGAATATTTCAGGAACTGAAAAACAGAAAACCGTTGTGCCTCCCAGAAACATGGAAACTACATAAGAAACAGCCATTGAAGTTGTCTGCGTACCTCACTCCAACACGTACACAGGAAAATGGTTTAGCTTGAAAGGCACCAGAGGATATGGTTAGGGTTTAGAAGTTACAGCAAAGTGGCAGGTTATTGGTTGGACTTGATGATCTTAGAGGTCTCCTACAACCTTGATGATTCTATGACTTGCTAAAAAGAGCTAAAAACCAAAGTGAAATAAAAGAACACAAAACATCAGTGGCTTACATGACTGTTCCAGTGCTTTTTCGTCGAATTTCAATGCCAAAGGGTTTTTGCTGAAGAGTTACTTCATACTCTCGGTCCTGACTTGTGGTTGTTGGAGAGCTGGGAAGATTTAGTGGCACTGGAACCTCATATCGTCGGTTTTGATAATCATAGATCTATGAAGCCAAAATAAATGTATTTCAATGAGTGACTTGTTTGAAATCTTACCTATATTGATAGAAATCTGAATCTCATATACACTTTAAAACATTTGCCAAAATGAGTATTTTCTTTCAGTCTTTCAATATATATTCTTTAACCAATTCTTACATAGTATTTTGTTTGGGGGAAAAAATCCCAACCAACAAACCTCAAGGATTTATTTGGGATCAGGAATGGCTTGTTTAATTATCTATAAGAATTCAAACCATATATAAAGTATATATTATATTTGAAATACAGGTAGATACTTTCTATATATGGTAAATGTCTTTTTGGTTCATCTTTTACTCAACAATTAGAGGTTCTTTTTCAAGTTTTCTGTATTTTGAATGCTGAGAGAACTCAGGTTTTCATGTCTGAGTATTTTAAGGCATCACACTTATTATGGTATTATTAAATGCGTGGCAGTAAATCACAGTTAAACAACAGTGTGCAAACAACAGGAAAACATAGAATAGAAGTAGAATGATTGATGCAAAATAAACTGTAGTGTAATGTTACCACTTACAGATAAATTCATCTGCACATTAATCAAGTGTTTTAAGTTTTCTGGTTGACCTTACACATGCACACTGACATTATATCTTTGATTCATATAATTTAATAGCCAAACGAAGTACAAAATTCTAGGACAAAAAAAGATACAAGCTAAGAGCAATAACAAATAATTGCTTAGCAGGAAAAGCATATTTAGACAAGGATGTTACTGTCTATGTAATATAAATTTGACTCTAAAATGCCCTTAATTTCCATAAATAAGCCTATTTTTAACAATGGGACATGACACACTCCAAGAAATTCTGGAATTACCTTAAACTGCAACATGTTGTTCTTATGATATTTCACCTCCAAGCGTAGAGTACTGATTGGTTTAGTGAACTCATCATTAGCTCTGATCCTGGAACTGTCTAAGCTGAGGTTGGCTACTATACCTGAGGAGCTGTATTGTATACTCTCTATAAAATAAGGATTGGAAGTGTTGTAATAGCAGGGTGGAACATCCACATTTGGTGATACCTGATACAAACAGAAGTAAGTTAAAGGTTAGTGAGACAGCAGTGATTATTTATTAGTTATTAGCATGGAATCTCATTTTTTATCAGATATCACGTGTAGAATTTGGAGAAAAACTTACTGCAACTATTGAACAATAAAGAAATAATACAGAATAATGTTTACATTAAATCAGATACAATAAACTAATCATAGAATAGCACCAGCACAGGTTGCTCAAGGCTTTAGCCAACCTGGCTTTGAACACTGCCAGGTTTGGGGCAGACATAGCCTCCCTGGGCAACCTGTGCCAGTTTCTGTCCACCCTCACAGGAAAAAATCTTCCTAATATCTAATATCAATTTCCCTCTTTCAATTTCTCCCCATTACTCCTTGTCCTGTCACTACAGTTCCTAACCAAGAGTCCCTCTGCAGCTTCCCTGAAGCCCTTTCAGATCCTGGAAGGTTGCTCTGAGGTCTCCGCTCAACCTCTTCTGCAGACAATCAAGTGAAGGCTGTACAAATAGTTCAGTCAGGAAACTGAATCCTTGGTGGATTTAATTTCCCTATCTCTTTTATCTTCAGCTCAATCCCACAACATGGTTCAATCTTGGCCAGTTGAAATTCCTAAAGCTCCCTCCCTTTTAATCTCATTGCTCTCTGGTCTCTGGCTGCCTTCAAGGGGATGTGCCCAAACCTCATTAGATATTCTGGCAATATCAGGTGAGAACTTTCTGTTGGCTTTATTCACACAAATTATCCTTAAAATAGCCACTGAAAATTACATTCTACTTACCTATCACCTTCTCATATTTCTAAATGAATCAAACTACAAAAACTGTTCTTACTGCAGAAAACAAGGGCAGTTCCTCAACCACTTCTGCTGTTGCTGGTTCCAGAGCAGCCAGCAGAGAATTTGGGTCTTCATACCTAAGGCACAGGTCCAAGCTGTATATTTTAAATTAGAGGAGCCGGGATGAATCTAGTTGGAGGGACCCTCTGAGGTTCAGCTCTGCCAGGGCACATTGCTCTCACATGTCTAAAGTAGTGGGACATCAGTAAATAAACTATGTTTAAAGAATTGCATGTTGGAGATTATGATTTGGAAACAGCTCCTTGACATGGATATAGATAATTAAGTTCACATACGAATCAAAATTTCCATGGAATTCCAGGATTTCCTTTCAAACTGAGATCCAGAAGAATCAGTTTGACATAAAATGCCCTTCAGTGACTGTAAAGGTGAGCAAAGGGGGTGAGCCTTGCAGGCCTTGGCACCAGTGAAGCAGAAGAGGCAGCTGAATATACTGTACTACTTCTTCATAACTCTAATATTATTTCTTTCTAACTTTCAAAAAAATGTCACATTTTCCATCAATTTCTGATATACTTTGGAAGAGTTTACATGCTTGCCAGCTAGTGAGGTAAATAAAATCTGCTAGCACAGGCAGCTGATATATGTGCCCCCAATTTATTTAAACATGACAAGTCTGCCAGACTACTTTCTATACTGTAACAACCACAAAGAAAAAGCTCTGACTCTGGAATACTTTCTGTCTCGTTAGTTTAGAGAAATAATTACTTACTTCCCAATGACAGCCAAGTTGTTCACATTTTTCTTGTGTTGGTTCAGGACTAGGATAACAATCAAACCTTTCATTGATACTCGTGCTCAGGACCCATTTCATTGTGTAAGATCTTCCCAGTTTCATCTGAAGTCCAGTTATCTGAGCAACCTATAAATATTCAACAATCAACAGTTATTAAATGTCACATCACATCCATCTTTTCTTCAGTCAGCAGAGATGCTGGTCCTCAAGGATAATACATTTTGTTACTTGGCAACTCACTAAACCCCCTGGCCTGTAATGTTGGATATAGTCTCACCTTTACAAACACGCACAACTGATATTCTTACAGATAAAAGCTGAAAAATTAAGAAGCTAAAGATAGTGATTTGGCTGTGGGGATTGAGTGCATCATCAGGAAATTTGCAGGGGACACTGAGTTGGGTGAAAGTGTGGATCTGCCTGAGGGGAGGGAAGCTCTATAGAGACTTGGAGAGACTTGACCCATGGGCTGAGGACAACGGCATGAGGGTCACTAGGGTTCAGTGCTGGTCCTGCCCTTGGGA